CATTCATGTGCAGGTTTTTGTGTAGAAGTGAGTTTTTATTTTGGGGGGCAAATATCAAGGAGTGTGATTGCAGGATTGTATGGTAAAAGTGTGTTTACTTCTTGTAGGAAACTGCTACATTGTCTTCCAAAGCAACTTTATCTCTTTTTCCTATTAGCAATGATTGAGAGTTCTTGTTGCCCCACATCTTTACCAACAGTTGGTGGTTTTGATGTTCAGGATTTTGGCTATGCTATTAGTGTGTAGTAGTATATTGCTATTTTAATTTGCATTTCCCTTATGACATATGACCTGGAGCATCTTTTCATATGCTTATATGCTATCTCTGTATCTTATTTGGTGAGTCAGTATTTTTGCTTGTTTTTAAACTGAGTCGTTTGTTTTCTTATTGTTAAGTTTTAAGAGTTCTCTGTATATTTCAGATAACAGTCCTTTATCAGCTATGTCTTTTGCAAGTATTTTCTCCCAGTCTGTGGCTTGTCTTCTCATTCCCTCTCACATAGCAGTTTTTAATATTAATGGAGTCTAGCTTCTCAATTCTTTTTTTCATGAATCTTGACTTTGGTGTTGTATCAGAAGAGGCATTGCCAAACCCAAGGTCACCTAGATTTTCTTCTAGGAAATTTATAAAACCCTTTAAATGTTTTAGAGTTTTGTGTTTTACTATGATCCATTTTGAGTTAATTGTTGTGAAGGGTGTAATATCTGTGTTTAGGATCATTTTTAGTATGTAGTTACCATCCCAGCACCATTTGATGAAAAGACTCTCTTTACCCCATTGTATTGTCTTTGCTCTTTTATTATAAATCAATTGAATATATTTGTGTGGATTGGTTGCTATACTGTTTTGTTCCATGGGTCTAGTTGCCCATTCTTTCACCAACACCACACATTTCTGATCACTATAACTTTATACTAGTTTATAGGAAGTCAGATAGTGGTCAGTTCTCCAACTTTGTTCTTCTTCAATATTGTATTGACTATTCTGGGTCTTTTGTCTCTCCATATAAACTTTAAAATTAGTTTGTTGGTATCCCCAAAATAATTTGCTGTGATTTTTGATTGGGATTGTAGTGCATCTGTAGATAAATTTGGGAAGAACCAACCTCATGACAATATTGCATCTTCTGTCTCTCCATTGTTTATTCCTTTTTGTTCTCAGTTTTTATTTCAAATTTGAAATGTTCATATCTGCAGTTGCTTCTTCAATTATATGTAATTAATAATGAAATGTGACAGGTCTTTTTTTTCTCTTTTATGGCTGTTATTGGTTCTCTTTTTGAGGATTTTCATTTGCTGAAAAGTTCTGATTATTTTTTCTTCCCTTCTAATAGAACCTTGTTTGGTTTCCAGGTTCATTGAGTGTCTCTTTTAATGTATTTGTCTATTATGTTGGAGTGTCTGTAGATGGGTAGGTAGGGGTTTGGGTGAGTTACTTTGGTCTTTAATTCCAAAGAACCATGCTTGATTGCTACAAATAACAAAAGTATAGTTCCTTTAATAAATATCGTCCTCTTTTGGTCTGACTTACAATTTTTTAATGTATAGATCATAAAATGTCAGTGGGCTTATTATCCTTAATTGCTTCATTTTTTCTTTTGTCACCAAACCTCCAAAGATACCTCCTTTTTTCAAAGTGCCTCTTTTCTCCCAGGGAAGGAATCTCTTCAAGGCTCTCCTTTTTGGTAACGGATTCTTTTGTATATGTCTGTGTATATGTCCTTTTGACCTTCCAGTGGCTAATGCTGTGATTCACAGTGTCCCAAATCTTTTCTTAAAATTTCCCCACTCAGAGTTAGATCCCTCTCTTGGGTAGTATATCTTAGCTGGTGTTAATCTGTTTTTTGGCAGTTGTAAGACCCCATCATATCTTACCCTCTTTTTATAGACTCGTCAGACTGTGCTTTGAGGGGCTCCAACACCAATTCAATTGGCCTCTGATTTTTATTTTCCAATTACGTGTTAAATGAAGTGCTATTCTGATTCCTAGTTATGCCATAGGCATGAACTATATGTGTTTTTATTTGTTCCATTGAAAGATCTATATATTCTATATACTGTCTTTGGACGGTATGCAGAAGGATTAGAATTTAAATGACTGCTATTTTATGAAAATCTGGAATTCTAGTCCTTTAAGTATTTTGCTGCCAAGTTTCTAGATAATTATGATGTTGAACCATATAAAATTGCAATTTTTGTAATTCAAAAATTTTCTTGAGGGATCCCTGGGTGGCGCAGCGGTTTGGCGCCTGCCTTTGGCCTAGGGCGCTATCCTGGAGACCCGGGATCGAATCCCACATCGGGCTCCCGGTGCATGAAGCCTGCTTCTCCCTCTGCCTATGTCTCTGCCTCTCTCTCTCTCACTGTGTGCCTATCATAAATAAATAATAATTTTAAAAAAAATTCTTGAATATCAGCAATTGTATATGGTGCTACTAATAGAAAGCTAAGCAAGCTCTTGATTCTTATGTTTCATGCCTTAGTGATATGTTACATATTGTAGAGGCATTATTTTTAGTATTCATTCCAACATTGTAAAGTCTGCATTTTTTATCAACCTCACTGAGGTTTAATTTATATACAATAAAATGCACCCATTCTAGTGTGCAATTCAGTGGATATGGACAATTGTTTACATTTCTTTAACTACCACCACTGTCAAGATACAGAGTATTTCCATCACTTTAAAAAGCTCCTTTGTATACTTTTGCAGTTAGTGCCACCCCCAGGAAATCACTAAATCACTTTCTGTCATTAGATTAGATTTCTAAAGACAATATCTCTAAATTACCCTTTGAGTCCTGCTGGATCTGAAGCTTGCTTATCACTCCATTGTCACCAGGTTACGTTTCCATGCTATATTTGTGTTGGCCTCGGGGCCTTTTTACTTGTGAGTCTATCCATCCATTGCTCGGCACTTTACATTTCACATATCTTGAATAGACGTCCATCTCTGCAGGATCCATGCTGCTTTTATTTTCTGTGCCTTCACTCATGCTATTCTCTCTGCCAGGCAAGCACTTACCTCCCAAACTAACATTCTTCCTTGCCTGATTTATTCCTACTTATATTTCTAAAGTCAGCATATATTACTGATTGAGTTATCAATTATATTTTATCTTTATCAATTTTATTTTCTTTATAGTTGTATAATTGTCTCCTTTACTAATCTGAGCTCCTTGAGGGCAGCAATCATTTCTTCAATTACAGATGTGCCTGGCACATGAGGCTTTCTATTCTTACTGCTTAATAAATATTTGATTTATGAGGAATGCGTTTCAACTTCTATGTATGAGATTTAAAGCTAAATCTACATAGGAAAAATTAAGGAAGTCTTTTTTTTTCCCTAATAGTCATTACTAAGAAAAACTAAAGTTAAATGAATAGCATCCTGTAAGTGTGAGGTGATATGGGCATTGTTCCCTTAGACCACAGTTATACTTGTAGAAACCAGTTTTTTAAGTTAATTCTTCAATTCTTATTTTTCTTGCCATGTTTCTGAAAATTCACCAGTGTGTATGGAGATAAATAGTCTAGCTTTGTTCAGAGTATGAGCTCTATATACTAATAATGTGTTTTAAGAATCTAAAAAGAAGGGCAGCCCAGGTGGCTCAGTGGTTTAGTGCTGCCTTCGGCCTACAGTGTGATCCTGGAGACCCGGGATCGAGTCCCATGCCAGGCTCCCTGCATGGAACCTGCTTTCTCCCTCTGCCTGGATCTGTGCCTCCCTTTCTCTCTCTCTCTCTCTCTCTCATAAATAAATAAATAAATAAATAAATAAATAAATAGATAAATAAATAAATAAATAAATAAAATATTTTTTAAAAACAGATTCTAAAAAGAAAAGCTTTGACAATAATATCAGTTGTTTTCACCTGTGTATCTCTTATCACAGTGTAAGCTCAAGGGCCAGAGCTAGGTCTTATTAGTCTTTTTTTTACCTTAAGATTCCTGGCTTCAATAGCTAATATATACTTGAGAGATCCTGAGATTCATGTTTGTTGTCCTATTACATACCCAGGAATGGTACCCTACTGTATTCACTCTAAAATTATATTAGGTATGAAGAAAATTATAAGGTTGTATCAGTCATCAGTTTCTGATTCTGGATAGCAACCTGATAAGTTCTAAACTATATGAGCTTAGAATGATACATCTTCAAAAAATCTTCATATTAGTAGTGCAAGAATTGGGAGAAGCAGGAATGATCTCTTGATGGATAAGAATAATTTCCAGGTGTTATAAAAACCACTATTATGTTCAAACTTCTGTTGTCTGTGTTTACCTGTGTGATATAGTACCATTTTTACTTGAACTAGATTTTTATTCCCTTTTCTCAGAGCAAATAAGAAAATTAATGATTCTTAATATGTTGACAGCCTAACTTTGTTTTCATAAACCAGCAGGGATCTAGGAAGCAACTATTGGGAGATCTGTCTACTACGAGCAAAGCTGGCTGAGAATTAACTGTAATGACTGTTCTTTTCATATGCTGTGATTGAATAGCAGAGTTATCTCAGCTTTTCTGGAAGAACTTTGTTTTAGTTAAGAATACAGTTCAGCAAAACACATAGGCACATCTGTACCCCTGGAAACATACTTTTTAAAAACCTTGTTTAAAAAGATGGCACACAAGTGAGAGGGACAGAGGAAGAGGGAGAGAGAATCTGAAGCCAACTCTGTGCTGAGCACTGAGCCTGATGCAGGGCCGATCTTATGACCCTGAGATCACTACCTGAAGCTGAAACCAAGAGTCAGATGCTGAACCAGCTGTGCCACCCAGGCGTTCCAACATACTTTTATTTATTAAATATAATCTATATTATGCTTTGTTGTATGGTAGTTAAAAGTGCTACAGAGTGCTCAAACTTACCTCTGTGATATTTTCAAAGGAAGAATTTATAATTGAAAGTTTCCCGTTTTAACAAAGGCTAATGCTTTTCCACTTTATTTTATATTATACCTAGTGTTTTAAAATATAATTTCATTTTGCCTTGTAGTGTATGCAGAGAATATTTCCAAAATGGTGGGAAGAGAAAAGCACTTGAAAAAGATGAAAAAAGAGCTGTACTCGCCACTAAGACCACTCCAGCCTTAAATTCACATGAGTCTTCTAAACTTGAAGGTCATTTAACCAACCTCAGCTTTACAAACCCTGAATTTATAACTGAGTAAGTACACTTTCTCTACTCCAATTATTAATGTTATTTTGGATAGCTGTATTAATAATGTAAAGTAGTATAATGATTTACCACAAGTAGTGGGCCATTTGCTTGTTCCCCTGATAATAGATTAGGCTGAAAAAAAGCACATTTGTAATATTATTAGGTAGAAAACTAGTATAAAATTTTAAGGGATATCTGGAAAACTAATGGTCTAATAACATTGTGTTCGGGAAAAATGAGAAAGAATAGTTTCTTAAATGTTGTAATAATTACTCTTAGGGGAATACAAAGAATCAAAATAGCAAAACCCATTTTAAACTGTGTTTAATTTAAAGGTGGTATCTGCTAACTAAAAAATCACAAGGAATAATGGATTATTAATAGAACCAATTCCTATTATTTTATTGTTGATATGAAATTCTGCCTACTATAGTGTTGTTAACTATAGTCATCATGTTGTACTTTACATCCTCTTTTCACTTATATCCCCATTTCACTTAGCATAATGGCCTCGAGGTCCATCCTTGTTATAACAAATGGCAGGATTTCGTTCTTTTTTATGGATGAATAGTACTTCATTGTATATTTACATATATCTATCTATATATATATATAGATATATAGATATGTAGAAAAAATATACATGTGCCGTCCTCTGGGCCCCCTGGCCTGCCACCTCTGCCCCTAGGTTCAGTGCCACCATCCCCGGCAGGCTGTCCCTGGACCCAGCCAAGACAGCTTTGGGACCAAGCCACACAGTCGGAGCCCTCCCCTGTGCCTCCCTCCCCTCGCCTCCCTTGTTAGGCTTGGGCCTAGGATGTTCCAGAGCCTGACCCTGCTTCTCCTTTTCTGACTGGGAAATAAACTCCCCCAAAGGGGGGGGAAAAAAAAGAGCAACAAACACCCAACAATAACGTTGGCTCTAGGGTGAGGGTGAGGAGGAGCAAAAAAATATATATTTTTTCTATATATATATATATATATATATATATATATATATATATATGTAGAAAAAGTATTATAATCTAGTTTATTGGTAGTGTTAAAATTCTCTATATACCTTATACCGGAATAGATTTGTAATATCAAGTAAAACTTTCTTAATCTATTGAAAATGCTAAACTTGAATAATTCAAAAAACATTCTTGATAGACACTAAGAGCTAACCATGAAAATACAATTTATTAGTCTCTTAACAATTTAAATTTGTAGGTATCAAACATAGAATTACCTCTGGTTACTCTTTTACACCATGTTGAAAATAATATCTAGTCAGTTGTAAGCAATTTCATTTAAAAATTAATTCACTTATTTTTTATTAGTTCAGTAGGAAAGGATAAGGCATCTGTCTTTACCTTTTATCAAAAGTTACTACAGAGCTTACAAAACGTGACTTACTGAACATCCTGTAACTCAGGTGTAATGAATATTCTTGAATATTTTTTAAATGATGACAGTGTAAAAAAATATATAGGTATGCTGCTATCAAAGGTACATATGGGAAATAGTAACCCTAGAATTTCTATATGGTTCTTTTTTATGGTCTCTATTTTATTCAGATTACCATATTTGTTCAGTCATTGTCATTAGACTTTCCCTTAATTCTCTGAACATGTTTTCTTTTAATTCTTGGAACATTTTTATAATAGCTACTCTGAAGTCTTTGTTAAATCCAAAATTTGAGCTCACTAAGAACCATTTTTTATTTACTGCTGTTTTTCTTGAGTATGGACCATACTTTCCTATTTTTCTTTGTCTTACATTTTTTTGTTGTTGTTAAAAGCCACCCAATGTATTTTTGACATTATATTGTAGAAACTCACATTTTGGATTTTCCCCCAAGGAGGATGGTGGTGATGGTTTTTTAATAATTTGCTTAGGCTTAATCTGTGGGATCTGCCTTCCTTGCAGTTTGTATTGTATTGCTATTTTTATTTTTCAGACTTGTTTCCTAGAGTTCATCTGCACATCTTAGTGGTCAATGATAGTGCAGGTTGTAGTACTCAATTATTTCAAGCCAGATAGGCTTCCACCCTCTGCCAGTGGGTGTGTTGATTGGGGAGTGCTTTTAACACCTAGGTAGTTTTCAAGTCGGCCTGACCAATTACTTTTTCCCAGACCCGCTTTGATCTCCTTTGCATGTTCACTTAGCCTCCTGATCAGTAAAGGCTATGTGGAGACCTTAAGTAGCCTTTCTCACTTCCAGGATTTTTCTTGTTAAATTTCTTACTAGTTATCCAGTCTGCAGCTCAGCCCAACCAAAGCTACAACCTCAGATTAGCATAGCTGCTGACTTTCTCTATTTTCTACTTTTACTGACAATGCTCTTTGTGGGTTTTTTACTCTTTAGTCCCAATCAAGTTAGCCCCTTCCAGCAGCGAAGATGCTGCTTTTCACAGCCAACCCTGTCCTTGAGGAACTTCCATACTAACTGAGCAAGTGGTGGGGTGATGAGTGGCTTTAGGCAAAAACACCATATATCCTCACTGTTCTGAACCTAGAATCAGCTTGTTTTCATGAATAAACACTTCTCAACTTGTTTGCCTTTGTTTTGAGTTCCAAAATGGTTGTTTTTGATGATTGTGTCTGGTTTTGTAGTTGTTTCTTAAGGAGTGGATTTGCCAATTCTACCCTGCCAGAGTCAAGAAATTACTGTTTCTGGTTTAGGTTTTTGTTTGTTTGTTTTTTAAAGATTTTATTTATTTATTATTTATTTATTTATTTATTTATTTATTTATTTACCATAGGAATGTAATGAATAACTCTATGCCCACAGATTTGATTACTTAGATGAAATGGACCAATTCCTTGAAAGACATAATCTACCAAAACTCACACAAGGAGAAATAGATAATCAGAATAGGTCTATATGTATTTAAGAAATCTAATCAATAACGAATAGCTTTCCAAAACACAAAGCGGAAGGCCCAGTTGGTTTCACTGGTGAAATCTGAACATTTAAGGGAAAAACTGATACCAGTTCTGCAGTCTATTCCAGAAGATAGAATCAAAAGGAATACTTCCTAATTTGTGCTGCGAGGCCAACAGAATGTAGTTTAAGATACTGAACCAGTCTTCCCATTACCTATTCTAAAGTAAAATTGATGTGTTCCTGACTATGTAAACATGATTCGATAATGACTGTATTATTATCTGTATTTGGGGGTTAAGTTATGCTTTAGTTGCTTGTGATGGAAACAAATCTAAGGTGAGAAACTGGAGAATTCATCTAGTTGTCTCACGATGTTTCTTTTTAATATGATCTTTATAAGAAAACATCTACCAGTTAAAACTGTAAAACTGTACTTCTGTATATAATTACCAAATCTGTACTAAATTTTTTGCTCCCCACCCTCTTTTTGGTCAGGTTCATCATCTGACTTTCAACAAGTGAACATCTAAGCTACATTGTGTGAAGTCATTTTTGGGCTGTTTTTCTCAAGTAGTACTTTAGAGGTCAAAGAAGTTGAGAGGGCTCAATAATGCAGACTTTGTAAGGACTCAAATGTAATGCCCTCTTTTTGAAGGATAATATAGTGGAAAGGATCTTGCTTTGTATACATTATTGGACATTTGGGTACTTTTTTTTCTCACAGTTGTTTCATCTCTGAATTAAGCATCTCTTTGTGCTTAAGTTTTTGTGTTCTTGGGATGGATTTCTGGAAGTAGATTTCTGAGTTTAAGACTTTGAGTGACTCAAGGCACTTGTACATATTACTGAATGACTTTCCAGAAAATATGATACTAAATCCATTACTCCTAGCAACATGAGTGCCCACTTTGTCAAGACTCATGAGCACTAATTTTCTTTATTTCTTTCTTTTTTTTTTTTTTTACTCCTTATTAATGTGTTGGAATAAAATGGTATCCTGGGTTAATAGGCACTTCTAATAAATACATAAGGAAGAGTAAATTTATAAAATAAAGGAAAATCATATTAAATCAGGAAAATAAAATTCATTCTATGAAGTTCTAGTACTTGACATGGCATTGAAACATGGCACACATGCTGTCATTATACTTTCCAAAATTCATGATAAATGAAGGTAATTGGATCTTTTCTGCAAATCCTGTACTTGGCTTTAGGGTCATTTTTACACAGCACCTAAAAAGCCATTACCAATTAGTATTAGAGATGAAACTCATCTGCCACTTATGTCCATTACTCTTGCTGTAAATAGGACCACAGTTTGACTCTTAAGTATCTTAGCAGCTAAGGCTAGCGCAGGCAATAGGATCATTTCTTTATTTCCTTTTTTTAGAATTACTGTTTATGTCATCTACTCACTCGAGTATTGGGATCTGAAGAATTTATTATTGTATGAGCTCTTTTCAGTGCTAAGGATCTTCATATTTATAGTTCTTGGGGTAGAGACTTAACATGCTTTATGGGTGGAAGGACAGATGAAAGAAACGAAGATAGGACGTTTTTAAAGCAGCAGAATCATGTGTTTATGATTATCTACTTGAGACTTGGTTAACTGGTAGAGAAAAAAAGGAAGGAAGAAGAGGTGGTGGCACTGAGTGAAAGGCAAGACTGTAAAGACTATTAATGGGATGGTCTCTGTTAAACCGGGAATCTTACTTATAGGCCTTATCTCCTTTCTGCCTTAGAATGTAAGATATTGGCTATATAAAGTTTGTGATGGAGGGAAAATAACACTAAAGAAAACCCAATTAGACATATTAATGCCAGTTTGGGGAGTTTAGTTTATAACAATTAAATAGTGACTTCGAACACCATTTTACTATTCTTTTTTTCCTTAAGTTTTAGTTAGTTTAGTTTCTATTTAATTTTACCGTTCATTTTATTTTCTTGGGCTTTTTAATATTGAAGCTTATTCTAGTAAATAAAAGGTGTTACAGTGGTAAAGGAAGAAGTTAAGTGTCTTTTGAACATAATTCAGTATATAAATAAAAAATTTTAAGTGTTTCAGTTATGGTTTTCAATGATTTTTGCTTTTACTTTGAAACGTATTACATATTAATCAAAGTATATATACAAA